CAGTGTTTCCCAACCTTATCCACCCCAAGGCACACTTACTGTTAGCATGTCCAAGTGCTGTGCAGCTCAGGGAGGCTACTGGGCTGGAGGACCCTCGGGTGAGCCCTGCCTCACCATCCCATGCTGACCCTGGCCACTACCCCCTGCCCAGGATAATCCCGCTGTACCTGATTTATCGACCTGCCAACAATATTCCCTACGCCACCATGGAGGAGGACCTGGAGGGGCCCTTTGAGCGGTACTGTGTCAGGGAGCGGGACGGCAGCCTGGCCATGAGGAGCACATCAGAGATTGCACAGAAATGCTGCTGCTTCCAGCACTGGCTCTACCAATGGACAAACGGCAACATCCTGGTGACAGACATGGAAGGTAATGGCAGGGGCTGCCCCCCAAGCAGAGAGGAGGTTCTTGCTTCTCTGTGCCATGACCCAGGGCCCAGCATGGTATCCGCCCCGGGGGGAGGAGGCCTCTGCCACCTCCTGGGAGACTCACCCCTGGACCTAGGCTCCCTGCAGTGGCTTGCTCTAAGGCAGGCTGGTGTTCCCTTTCATTGCAGGTGTAGGGTGGAAGATCACCAACGTGAGGATAGCCACAAAGCTGAAAGGGTGAGTGACTCCAGGGAGCTGAGCCGAACTCCTGCCTCCTCACAGGGACTGAGCAGCCTCAGCCTGGTCCTGGCTGCCTGCCCCAGGCAACAGGACTGCCTGCCAGCCTCTATACTTGGTTGAGGGAGAAATGATGCAGTCAGGGATGTAACCACCCCAGTAGGCATGAGCATGGGCCTCCTGTCCTTGCCCCTCAGCCAGCTGGGCACCACCCGCTGTATTCAGTCTCCAGCAGAACTCTGCATCCTGGCGCTGCCCTTGGCAGTCAGTCCAGCATCTCCGTGTATGGTGGTGGGTGGGAGGGGAAGTGAAGGGATGCAATGAGAAGGGGGGCATGCATGAGGCAGCTGATGGCAGAGTGCCATGGCCCATGATGAAGTGCCATGGCCCATGCTAATGAGAGTGAAGCGGTTCCCTAGGAAATGGGAGCCCTCATAAGCAGGGGGGATCACAGAGACCCCAAGCATCCCAATCAGGGGAGAAGGAGCCCTGGGCAGCTGCCTTCAGAGCCTGGGAGCCCCTTCACACATGCCTGGGTACTGAGCATTGCTGTTTGGTGGCAGGTACCAGGGGCTGAAAGAGAGCTGCTTCCCCACCCTGCTGGAGCAGTTTGCTGCTACCCACCAGTGTAACCACTACTGTGAGATCCTGGGCCTGAAGACCCTGGAGACTGTGCAGCAGCCAGGAAAGTCCAAGGGCTCCAAGAGCCCATCGATGGGCAGGAAGGCTTCCTCAACCCAGTCCAGCCCCCAGCTGCAGAAGAAGGGCCTGGCGAGCCCCCAGGGCACCCGCAAGGGTATGGTCAGCCCTAAAAGCTCCTGGAAATCCACTGAGTCAGGGGAGGCCCAGCTAGCCATGAAGTCCAGAACTGGGGAGAGCAGCAGGTCCAGCCGGCTGCAGTAGGCAGAGCCTGCCCGGCGGGATCGCAGAGCCCACGGGCCGGGGGAGGCAGCCTGCTGCTGTGCACACTTGGGAAAAGGGACCCCTACAGCAGCGGCCAGCGCATCTCCTCCCACCAGCCCCCCGCCGTTTGCATCCTGTGTGTGGTGTGCTAATGAAGCAGCAACCGGGCCAAGGACACTCTAGAGCAACCTGGGAAGTAGCCTTGTGGGCCAGAGCTGGCTTGCTGCATGACTGGGCCTGCGGAGGGGGCAGGGGGAGGGGTCTTGTTATCTCACACGCTGCTGATTTATACCTCTGTAAAGGGAAAGCCAAGCTGGGGCAGCCGAGCCTGCGAGGCAGGGGTGTGGGGACAGCCCACTGCCTGCTACTGACCCCGCGGGTTCATCTTCCAAAGCCCCTGTCTGGGCCGTGCCGGCTTTGCGTTCCCTGCCTCAGCTCCGACACTGAACCTGGTGCTCTCTGGGCTGCTGCAAATGCCCCTGCTGCTCCCCCTTCCCCTCCCATCAGGGCTGTTTGGTGCTGGGTGGATCCAGCTGCCCAGGAGGGCAGGCAGACAGACTGGCAATGGGTGCGGCCTCTCCCTGCCTGCATCCCTCCCTCCTGGGCAGTGAGCCAGCACGGACGTGGGCTCCTAGTCAGTGGTATCTCAGGTTGTTCCCCTTGGCTCCAGCTTTTCTCTACTTGGGTTCGTGGTAGCCTCGCACCCCAGCTTGGATGGTTCCTGCCCTGTGTACAAGCCCCTACTACATTGTGACCCATGCCAGCACAGACAGGTTGCACCACCGCTGCATGTCTAACCTGCTGTGCCCTGCAGGGAAGCCCTGAATACTCACATGGAGCCAAACAAGGGCATTTGGAGTGGCAGTCGTCGTGGTGCCCCGTGAAATGCAGCCATGAAAAGCTCCCAGTCCACCAACATGCTTTGCTGGTGCTGTTGCCTAGGGAATGTGTGTGCGTCAGCTCGTGCGCCTGTCACCATGGTAGCTAGGTACCAGCCGTACCAAGACAGAGAGGCAGCTGCTTGCCGCAGCAGGCAACAGGGAGTTCAAGCCCCCAGGAAAAAAGTGTCAAGTCTCTTCCTCCTCCAAGTGGAGATGGCCCTCCTGCTGAAATCCTCAGCTTCCCCTTGCTGTCAAACCCAGGTCCCCTCCTGAACATAGTGACCCCAGGCTGCCCGGTCCCCCACAGGGCCACTCGCTCTGAATGCTGCCAGCAGAGGGGATGAGCAGCCCAGACCCTGCTTGCTAGGATCAGTGCTTGCCAGCTGCAACTTCCCCTTGTGACAAAGTCCCCTGCTGCTGGCAAGCCCCAGGTTGTACTTGCCCCCTCCAGAGCCAGCCCCCCAGGGGTATTTTAGGGCAGCAGAGAGGCAACTGGGAGCTGTTACCTGTTGGTGGAAGCTAGCGAGGCCTCAGGGCTGCTCTGCCTCATGCGGAGGCCAGGTCAGTAGCCAGGCTCAGGAGGAAGGGGGAGAAAGTCACTGCCCTGTGTGCCAGGGCTGCTGTGAAGAGCCAGGCATCATGCCTCATCAGTTAGCTATCTGAGAAGGCAGCAGCCTCACTGCTGACCTCACTAGGAGCCAGGGAGGGCATGAGTCTTTTTTCCTGCACCCTTGCCCTGAGACGCACAGGCAGGCCCTGCCTTGCCTACCTCCCACCCTCTGCCCTGGGGGGAAACAACATGAAAATATGAGCCATGGGCTTCTTCTTTGGATCTTTGTGACAGACACTGGGGCAGGTGATCTGCTTTGCTTGCTTGCATGGTCAGTTGTGCAGGCCCTGACTGGGTTGAGGGCATCTCCCTGATGCAGGAAACCAGTGAAAAGAGGATGCTGCAAAAGCTAAGCACCCTGGCAGGGGAAATACCATGACCATGATGGTGGCAGGGGAAGTACCCTGACTGATGTAGTACAATTAAAATGGCACTGTGTAGTGGAGGGTTGCACTCTTGTCTGCTTGTGAACAGGACTCCCTACTAGAGCCTCATAGTTAGCTTCCCACTGGCCAGCTTCCAGTGGGAAGATCTTGGTTACATGCTGACTTTGTGGAAATGGGAGACATCTCCCTAGCTTGCTCCTGAGGCCATATGGCTGAGGGCAAGCAAAACTCAAGGGCTTCCGAACCCCAAGCCTCTGGGCGTGGGCCTGCACATAGGATGCCTGCCAAAGGATTTGGAAGCATCTGAAGCCCCAGGCTGGAGTGGAGGATACTTGCTGGTAGTAGGGCCACATATGGTTCCTGGACAATTCAACAAGATTTGGACCAGATTTGGCTAATTTGACCTGGGACTCGGAAAATTGCCCTTAAAAAAAAAACAAAAAACCAGGGCTCCTCTGCACGAGGCCATTTGCTTGCTAGTGTGGGGTGGTCACCAGGTGTGGAGCGGCTGCTGCCCCTCTGGAGGGATCGGAGGCAGGTGGCTGATGGTGAAATGGTAATGCAGATGCACCCTCCCTGCTGGAGCTTAGTTACACCCTCTGGTTTCTGTTTATCATTTCTTTTCATTAACTGTGGCTGGTAATGAAGAAGAAGGCAGCTACAGACTCAGGGCCCCACCTCTGTTGTGGGGATGCTGTGAGCTGCCACCACAAACGTGCTTGGAGCCCTATAGCAAATCTCAACTGAGCCAATTTGCCTTCAGGATAGGAGCAGAGCTGGCCAGAACCTGGAAAAGTAAGGAAGCTCTCCCACCCCCTTTCCCTGCCCCAAAAGAAAGCAAAGCCCATGGCAGGGAGCACTTATAGGCTCCAGCTTTGCTGGGTAAGAAGGCATGTGCTTTTGCCTCAGGTCTGCAGTTGTAGCATGTCAGGGCCTCCACCCAACCATGCCTTACACCTGCTGACTGGTGGCTAGGGGAGCTGCAAGCTGCTGGCTTTCATGAGGCATCTGCCTAATGGCCACTGTCGAAAACACACCTTTCTCTCTCAGAGCTGCCCAGTTACAGCAGAGAAGAGCTGGCAGCTGTGGGAAGAACTATGGCAGGGAGTCACTGTTGCCACAGGAGTGGTGGGGATGTTCCTCCAGCTTGTGGAGAGGGCTGAGGCAGGGACAGGGATCACTGTGTCCGCAGTGGAGGTGTCTCTCTCCGATGGCGAGGAAGTGTGATCCGTGTGCCCCAGCTGCCACGTGGCGAGGTCCAGCAGAGACCAGGCGGGGCAGTTTCTTACTGCGGCGCTTTGCATTCCGTGGCTGTGGCTGCGCTTGTCTGCTCAGGAGTGTACATTTCCTGCTCTTGTTCAGATAGTTGTAAAATACCCCTGTACATACTCATCTGTGTATTGGCAAATGGGTGTGCTCGTGTGCAATAAAGTGAGAAGGACTGGTCTGCTCTCCATTATGTCAGTGCGGCTGGCAGGGTTGGGAATTCTCACCATAACAATGCCATCTGCTAATTTTGCTGACTCCCAGCTCCCTCACCCTTCCCCGATTGGTAATAAAACAATATGGAACCTAGCACACACACTTGATGCTTCCATCAACTTTGACCATGATGAAAGTGACCATTTAAATCCACTCTTTGGGCTTTGGCCAACTCCTGACCTGTGACTGTATTCACCTAGGGTGCTGCGGGCCTCAGTTGCCCTGGTTACAGCCATGGGGATCACAGCCATAGACTAGCCAAGCTGCGGAGCTCTGTCCTGGTGCAAAGCTGCTACATAAGGGCTGGGGTGTCAGTGAAGGGGATGAGGAAGGCAAAGGGGACTTATGAAAGGAAAGAGATAAGGGTGCAGAACCTGCAGCCTCTTTTGGCTGCCAAACAGGGCCCTGACCCCTGATGCAACAGGAGCTGCTGGCCATCGAGCACCTTTGACACCCAGGTTCCTACTGAGGGTGCTGAGCTCCAAAAATTTCAGCCTGTAGGCCTAGGGCAGGGGTCCAGTACAGGGGAGACTCCATACCCACCAGCACTGTCCAGCCTAGAGAGGATGGCCAGAGGCAGGGACACTGCAGTTTCCATGGTTTGATCAGGAGCTGTTATTGACTTGACATTATAAAGGAGGGCCCCTCATATGCCTAAGTCAAGGCCACGTGCATGAATCAGGGTGGAAGAGAAGCCAGTTCTCAAGGGCATGGGAGCCAGTCCTCAAGGGCAGGGCGTCAGCTGCTGCTGCATATGGGATAGCAAATGTCAGAAGGAGTAGTCAGGAAAGGCCTGGGCTGTGGGCTGGGCCCATCAGGAAGTAGGGGGAGTGCTCAAGAACCCCCTGTGGCTCACTGATCCTGGAGCCAGCCCAGGGGCAGTTTCCACAATCCAGGCTGGTTGTGTACAGTCTCTGGGGGGTTGCGAGGGGAAGTGCAGTGCAGCTAATGGGAGCTGAGGAGGAGAAGCCCAGGGCCCTGCCCCTGCACCACTCTTTTGTGCCTGGCAGAATGGGCTGGGAAGGTGTCAGGCCCTGAGTGTCAGGTCCTGGTTGATTCTTGCACAAGCCCTTGCCTTTGCAGTTTGGGCATGTGCCCATGTAGGTATCCAGTCCTGTCACCACCTCACAACGGCTGACCTAGGGTTGCCCCAGACAGGTCGTGTGGTTGTAGTGCCCACAGCACTGTGTCGCCAATGCCATGCTGGCCTCAAGTCCTGCCCAGGCACCAGTGAAGGAGAGGGTCCCGTTGTTGCTGAGCATGGAGCTGGAAGAGAGGACCATGGCTGGGGTGAGCCACATGTCAGCAGACACTTGTTGGGTACATATATCCCTGGGATAATGCAGGCCTGAGACTGCCCCCTCCCCTTCTTCCTCCCTCAAGATGTCATCCCTCTCTTCACTGGCCTCCTCTCTTCTGCTGGTTCCCAGCTCCCCACAACCCAAGGCTGAAATCCCCTCCTGGTCCCGCTAAGACAGTTTCACTCTATTTAACACTGCACCAGCCCAGGGACGTTACTGCCACCCTCCTCTCACCCAGGACTGCCCACACAGGTGAGTTCTTCATGGATCTCCTGACATCAGGTGTATTCCTTATAAATGATGCCTGGAGTCCTGTGACTATCAGAGACTCTCAGCTGTTGGTGGCAGAGAAAATAATGGATGTGGCAACCTCTCCCTCCTACCCCTGGCAGCATCCTGTCATGGTTAGCACAGCCTCTCCCAACCTGGAAATGTGGCCATGAAGCTACTCCCTGGTATATCCTTCAGCCCCTGCTCTTGAGCCTTCAAACTCTAGCAGAACAAGAGAAGTCACCAAGGACAACCTAAGAACAGCTTCACCGGCACATTGGTGGGAGCAGGTGACTGGAGCGTGCTGGGGGCAGGCACATTCTGGCTGGGACGGGCAGTGTTGACATACCAGCGTTGAGGCCTTTGGATTGTGAGGGAGCCTGAAGGGGGCAGTTCCCTGAGCTCCAAACTTAGGAGGCAAATAAAAAGCACCCACATCTTTTTATATAGTCATGGTTTTAGGCAAACTCATGGGGCCCTGTATGTTGGAAGGTGCAACCCTGCCTCCTAGTCCAATCTCTGCCCTCCCATCTAGATCGACAACCACGGTTTTGCCTCACACCCATAGGTGCTGACTCCATGAGTGCTCCAGGGCTCAAGCACCCACCAAAAAAAATTAGCAGGTGCTCAGTACCCACAGAGCTGCTTGCAGATGTTAAAAAAAAAATGCTTTACTGAAAGAAGCAGGATGTTACTTCAACCCAGCTCTGCAGCATCTGTAAAGATCAGGTGCATCAGCAGGGCTTTTTGGTGCTTTTAGCTAAAGCTGATTTAACCCACTACTGGGTAAAAGTGTTAAAAAAGCCCCATTAAGTGCCCAATCTTTACAGAAGTTGAAGAGCCAGGTAGAAGTAACGTGCTGCCTCTTCTGTGCATGCGTGGGGCTGAACAAGTTAAAAGTAAAGTGATGGTTTTGTTTTGGGATTTTTTTTACACCTGCAAGCACCCACCAGCAGAAAAAAAAAGTTGGTGCTTATGTTCACTCCCCTCCCTGAAGCCTCCTTTCCCCACCCCAACCTGCCAAAAATACCCCTTCCTGCCCTCTCCACAGCCCAGCACTGTTGTCTCCCCTCCCACAGTTCCTTGAGGCTCAATCCTCCCTCCTCCTACCAGCAGGGTGAGACTCATAAGAGACATTTACTGGGAGGAGGTCCTCAAGAGCCGGGGAGCCCTGAAAGGTTGTCAGCTGCTGCTGCATATGGGACTACAGTCCCTTGAGGACTGTAGGTCCATATTTCCGCTCTCCTGTGCCATGGGGGCAGAGAGCAGATGCTGAAAGGGGGAGTGATCAGGGTGTGACCAGGGGTTTTTCCAGTGTTCCTCTCTTACTTGCAGCTTTTAGCATTTGCAGTTGAATTAGGGAAGGGCAGTGGGTGGGTACACAGGGGCGCAAGGGAGCGGGTGCATTTATTGTAACGGGTGCATGGTTTCTTAATGTGGTTTAAGGTGTGTGATGGAAAGTTTATGCTAGATGATGTGTATATATATATATATATAACTATATATATAACTATAACTATATATATAGTTACATATATATATATTTTTTTTAAATTAAGGCCTAGGAAGGTCTGATTCAGAGGCTGTGCCCCTCACTCCCGTGCTCAATAGCTACTGATGCACCTTTTGCTCTCCAAGCCATTCCCTACAAATCTATTACTTAAGCTACTGAAATAACCTATTACTTAAGCTCCTCAGTCAATCCTGTTGCCCAGCTACAAGGCATAGCATCCTGTGGTGCCACAGGAAAAGCAGGGGGATAACAGAAGTCAGTGTCCTGCTGTTGCAAAGATAGTTAAGAGTCATCCATGCAGGAAGCAGGTTAAAAGTAAATTTCAAAGCAATCTCATTAAAAATGTTGGTAGGAACCACTGTGGAGACTGCAGTGAGATGCACCCCCCCCCCCACCCCCGCGTCCCCGACAATAGGGGGTCCAGTTTCAAATAGGCAAAGCAGAAGGTGTGTGGAGGAGATGGTCTGGGAAGCTGATGCTTTTCCCGCGGGCATGCATGAGGGCCATGCCCCCAGCAGTG